TTCTGAAACAGTAGCTATATTTAATGATCTCTCAGCTGCACATTCTGTTGTCAGCTGGGAAGCCCACTGAGCAGTATTCCCTTTCCTGTACAGAAGTTCAGCATGACAAAATTGGCATGGCTATTTGACCTTTACACTGGTTTCACAGAACATCCTGATTTTGGAATGTGATGTGATAATTAAACAAAAGTTAATGGGTATAAAATAAAACTTTCTTGAAATAAGAAAAGCAGTCTAATGTTATTTCACAAAGTGGAGGGAATGAGTTTCTCTAATTTTAGCTCTTCTTACAGAGCAGGATTGGCAGTGATATTCACTCCTGCTCCTGGAGGGCCACAGTCCACCAGGTGTTATATGTAACCTATAATCCTCACCAACTTAATAAAACAATGTGAATACTTGTTTCAGATAAAGTCCTTATGAGACCAGGCTGGAATGAAAACCAGAAGACAGGATAGCCTTCCAGGATCAGGAGTGAATTTTAGTGATGAAAGGTGTTGCGTATTAGATTCTCCGACAACAGAATGCTTCAACAACATGCTCGCATTTCAAAAAATATTTTGTAAACAAAAATTAATTTGGCTGTAAAACAACAAGGACTTAATTCTTCTTATTTTTCAAATATAACAATTTTCAATCCTTGCATACTTACTGTACATCATCTCTCAACAACATACTGTAGATAACAGTTGCTATAATGTAGCCTTTGCTATATTTTACATTATGAAGTGTCTTTTATGGTTGTAAGCAGAGCAATTATTCAATGTATTAGCTTTTGGAGCTTTTCGAATTGGAACGGGATATGATAGCTGGAAAGAATTTGGCAGTACCATAACCTTGACACATCTCGTAAAGAGTTTCTTTTAAATCTTTCATCAAACAGAAGCAAAATAATTCAAAGACACTTTCTTCTTTCTGGCTCCGTTTCCAAGCAAAGAATTAAGGTGAGAAGAGCTGAGGGTATCAATGCTAATTGACAAAACCTTTGGTGGAGTGGTACTGGAATGCTTTTAAAGCTAGACCAAAGTATTTCAGTTTTACTCCTTGCTCCTTTTACCTAGTATTGATCTCCTTTTCCTCCCAATATGTGAAACAGCCTGATGGGATTATTATGGCTCCTTTTATAGATATAAATTCCCAAATCCTTTTATATACTCATCAATGATTAGTTGTCTTCAGCAAAATGATATCACTTTGAAATTGTGTCAGGGACCTCACATATAAAGCACAGAATTCACCTCACGTAAGTCAGAGCTTCTTCTTTTTAGGGGAATATTACACACACCTGGAAACACTCAGTATGGAAGGTAAGCTCTGAAATGACTGCCACGAATGCTACTGCAGTGTGGAATTCAGCAGCTGGGCTATTCTGTTACTTTTCATGGGGCATCTCTTCCACAGCAGAGAAAACGTTGGATCATGACATCTCACTTCTGCCCTATGACTGCCTGCAAGGGAGGTAGTGAAGCATATTAACTTGGCAAAACCTTCCTTCAGGTGTTTTGAGGGATAATAAATGATGGCTTTGTAAATGAATCCTAAATAGCCATGCATAATTCAAAGTATATGCACAAATCATGTGCAAAATGGTGAGTTATCTTAAATTCTTCAGGAATGCATAACCACAGAAGCTGGGGCAGACTATTTTGCTGTTTTGGGAACACAGTTGATAGATAACTTCACAAATATCTCTTTAACAGAACAGTACACATATGCTGTATATTCATCCAGCCACTTTCTGATCCACTCTTCCAGGACAGGCCACAAGTGCAGTGTAGGATATACTCAGGATGGGCTGCAGTACTTCGCAGGTACACAGAGAAAAACAAACACCCGCACGAGGGCCAGCTTTACAGACACCAGTTTACCTACTGTACCACCATGTCTTTGGACAGTGAGCGAAACCGAAGCACTAGATATATATATTCAGTTTTCTTAAGTAGTTAAAATACAGAAATCCACTTACAGTGTACATTAGATTGGCCACATAAAAAACTAGAGCATGTAGGCCTTGAATTATCTGCCATAATTAAAATGACTCGGTAACTCTTGAATCTGCAATTACCCAGAATACTTTAAGGCTTTTATCTATTATTGCAACAGAATCTTAATCAAATAACACAAATTTTAAATTCCGGTGGACACTTTATTTGGGAGGCCCTACTTGTTCTGTTCGTGATTGAAGAACTATTGCTTCCATAGATCACTACCGGTCAGTTTGCAGGGAAGTGTTTGAAAATAGTGAAAACTGCAGAGGCAGTGGTGCGACAGGTTTTTATTTTCATTGTAACAATAAACATCATGGTGGCATGATGGAGCTTGCATGCTTTCCATTTTTTCACATAGACCTTTAGTTTATTTTTTTATCTTCAACATCCCCAAGGATAAGCTTGACTTGGCTCTTTAAATCCGAACGTCTTGTTTGTCTCCGGATTTGACTCCTAGACTCCGTGAGTCAGAGAGAAACGAGCAGCCTCTTCTAATTACTCTGCCCTGTCAGGAGTGGTTTAATTGCCCCAGTTCTACACTTCAAATTGAACACGGGTTACAGGTACAGTATGTGGACAGATGGATAACACTGCAGTTTGGTTCATTAACTTTCTGTTGGAAGAAACTGTGAATCTAAAACTTCTCAATCTATGGTGTCACCAGCAAAAGATTGTTTCCAAAGATTTGCAAAAATAATGTTTGATCATCATCTCCCTCTTAAACATTTTTCAGTGGCTTTTCCAGAGAGAAAGGATTGCAAGAACTGCATTTACAATAGGTCTTTCAATCAATCAGCTCACAAAAGCTGAATGCAGGAAATAATTTAATCAAGTTCTAATTCATATTTTGTAGCAATTAATCACATGGTTTGGAAATGTCTCTGAATTGAATAAAATTGTCAGCAGCTTTCACAACATTCAATTTTGTATTTCTTGACAAAATGTTTGAAGAATATTCATCCCATCTCTCTTGCCAGAATGCATTTTATGAGTGGTTCAATGTTGTCGCCACTCTCCAGTTGATTTATGATCCTGTGTATGGGAATAAGAGTATCAAAACAATTGTAATTATGCTCTATGTGCTACTTTGCACTTTGCAAAGAAGAGCAATGTTAAGTAGTGAGTTTTCTGTTAACACTGCAGCAGGTTTTATAATCTCTTAACTGAATATACCGATTGAAATGCAAAAAACATGTTTTTTTATTTGAGAATTAGGTACAAATAATGTCATCCAGATGTATACCTGTTGTACGTTGGTCTTGTTGGCAATTCAACTTTCAGTTAATTCAGTTTCAATGCCTGCCCCAAACAAGCTCTAAGAATGTTATGCAACCTAAACAATTAGTATACTCTTTTACTTAAGAAAACACTCTTTGACAGGAAAACACTTCATACACAGTTTGAGGCCTCACTGAAAGGGAATTTTCTGAGCTGTCACAGCCATGTAGCGTTGTTTCTATGTGAAAACCAGCTAACAGGGAGGAGCAAAGACACGATTTTAAGAAAGTTTTCTACAGGGAGATCTTCAAAGATCTCAGTGGAAGGCTTGTAAAAGAACAGATTTAAATGTCAGGAGTGACTAAATGAACTATAGCTGGTGTGAACTTTTAGTTTACATTTGTGAATTAATGAATTCATTGTGAAAGATGGACAGCACAATGAAGAAGAATAACAAAGGGTAAAACCCCCTTTTTCCTTTTTTGTTTTAACCTGTCCTCTGTGCTCTTTTGAAAAAAACAGGTCTAATCAGCAGTGCTGGAGAACACCACTGAAGTGCCTGTCTGTGGGTTATGAATGTCACAGAGTATCAGCACAGACACAGTATGTCAGGAGATCCTCTGAACATTTTACACTGTTATATAACTGATGTTATACAGGTTACATACTGTCCTGCTGTGCTGAGTAATGGACAGATACAGCTGCAGTGGTACACAGATCACATCACATAAACCCAGATCTCTTAACACAAGTTGCATGATTACTCAGTGATAAACGTTCTCCTACAAAAACAATTTATATTTTAAGACTCTTTGCCATTGCTCTTACATGATAGGTAGACACTAATTTGAAATCAGCTAGCTACTGTAGCTTCACCTTAACTTCAATGATTTTCTAAGATGGCTTTGCTATACTCCATCATTTGGGCAGTCTCAAGACTGAATGATGGGAGGCAACTAGATGAACAAATAGTTATGAAAATTCAAAACTTGTTGTATGTTATTCAAAAACCATTATCATTCTGAGAATTTAATGACAATCTATTTAAGAAAAGTCAGTGTTATACGAGGATATATATATATATCTAAAATTATATAGTTTTTTTTTTTAAATTAGATATTTAGATATCTAAAAGTGAATTCTAACACTATACATTACAACTGAAACAACACAGCTTTAACAGTTACTGTTCCTCTAGCATCAATGATCTTGTAGCCAGGCTTGAACAGATTCAAGACTTCATAATATTCTAATCTCAACGACACCATCGATATCTCATGATTTAAGGAAACAATGTGATCTCCGTCACAGAAAAGTAAATATTTTAAACCAATTCAATAATGAATACTGCTGAATGTGGTCTGAAAACTGACATTGCTAATATGATATATGACTAAAAATCCTAACATAAAAATGACAAATGGTGCACAGAAAATACGGCATATATAAGGCAAAATTAGAAAGGAAACGTATTAAGGGGATTCATCTAAAATTAGTCTTGCAACATTTCACTGTGACTTTCTTTTTGACAGTGTTATGTTCTCAGAAAGCCGTATTAAGATGTAACCACTGGGAATTTACAGATTTCATTCACTTCAGATTTAGCTGGCGATGAGCTTAACAAGTATGACAAAGGAATTTGATCAGCACTTTTTATTTAATATTGAGCATCATGAACTACATAAGTGACAGTATTATGAACTACTGTCAGTTCACCTTTGGATTCATATTGCTAAGGATTAAGAGTGTCATAGTGAAAGTAGCAGTGTCATCTGTATTGTTGTCAGTGCTTACCGTATTGTGACTGGTGTCAGTTTATCATTGCTGATGTTCTGATCTGCCCACGCAGTCAAAATATGGATACCACTGCAACCAAACTTCACTACTGGTCTTCCATCATTCAGGAATACGTGCAAAAAACGATCCCCGAAGTTTTCTTCTCGACCTGAAAAAAAAACGGTTATTCATTTTAACCATACACTCTTCATCTGTGTTCTAATATAGATTTGGATCAGTTAGGGGAGAAAAAAAACACCTTTTTAAAATAACCTACATTTTTAAAAAACAATAACATGACTATGTTAGCAAGCAATCACATTATTCTGCCACTGCTCCTAATGATGTGTTAATAAGAATTCTCTGTGTACTTTCTGTTCTGAGATAAGTGTGTCAATGTGGAAATAAAAAAAGTAAATTGAATTTTAAAATCATTCTGTCATCCAACACTTCACTTTTAGTAAAATACAACTGGCAGAAAAAAAGTACTGTTTGTGAGGATTTGATTACATACAATACTGAGAGCTTTTAATCATAATGCTTTCAGGATGTTCACCACACATTTATTCACTTTGGCAAATTCCTTGTTTAGAAAGCAGTCATCAGTTTAATGTAACTCACTGTGTTCAAAAGAACAGCCTATTTTTGCATGTGGTAGTTTATGGTATTTTTTAGTCTTGTTGTCCTCAATATTTGTCTCTTAGTGTAACAGTGTTCCTCAGAAAAACAAATCTTCCAGGACTAGGGTTGTTTTTCATTCCAGCTAAGACCCTAATATTTTAAAAAACCCTTAACTGAATTCATATCTTGTTTTAGGAGACCATTTTTACCACCTAAAAACTGATTTCTTGTTAGATATTATTCTTGAAAGAATACATTATTTTGAAATCGCCAGCAGCTAAAGAGATACTGTATGAACAATAAAACAAAATGCTAAATTAATCTAATTATCAGTGAATGCATCTAAATAAATGCAACCTCAGTCATAATGAAATTAAGAAAACACTTGACCGATGAACCTCAGGATTCTAGAGACCTGCCCTGGAGTTCCTGAGAGAGTGAATAGTCTTTAAGTTCATGGACAATACTTCCTTTAGAGGCCTTGAAGGCAAATAACTCAATTTAAAGTTATATTTTTAGTAATTCATCTATCCATTTTCTAACCACTTTATCTAATGTGGGGTCAAAGGAGAAGCATGAGGCTATCCCAATGAGCCACTGTGCGCCATATTTTAGTTAACCCCAATAATAATGGTGATCACTTATCTTCCCAGACTCTCCTTTTTGTACAGGTGTAATTGTTGAACCCTAATGCTATCAGTCAAATGTATTGTAATATACTATACAGTATACAGCCAGGTTGGCTTGGATGTGTTGTGAGCAAAATCCTCTGGAGTTTTGGAGGTCTCAACAGGAGGGAATGAAGGCATTCAGGATTTATGCTTGTTATGATGTTATGTTACAAAATTAAATCTGTAAATTCTCCAAGATTTGTTTCTGTGCTCCAGATAGCCAGGATCTTATGAACAGCGGTATGATTTTTTTCTCGTGTCTGATTTTAGCTACATAAAGTGGGAACAGGACCCAAGGTTGACCACAGTTAAACTGTCTAAATTGTCTGATTTTGCACCGTATATGGCATCAATATACCATATGCTGCTGGTTATCAATTGAAAATTTGGGGATTTTTTTGTACAGGAATTTTGCTTATTTCCAAAAATAAAAGCCTGTTGCTGTCAGAGGTGAGCTACTGGCTACATCAGTCCTCCTCTGTTTATAGCAATGAAGAAATCTCCAGCTTGACTGAACAGAGTCGGTGAGAAGAGTCTAAGATATCTCATGACAATCCTCTAAAGTGTTTCCAATTCTAAACCCATCCGTTACCTTACTCTTAACATTAACACAAACCTGTTCAGAATCAGTACACAAACCTTCACCATAACCATAAACTTAATCCTAACAGTAGGATCATGCCTTTAAGACTTTAGTAGTAGAAAAAAACACCTTCACAGTAACACCACCTTTAACTTGAAACATGAGACAATTTTCTGTTGACGAATGAAAAGAATTGTGAATATACTGATTCCTATGAATGATGAACATTGTTGTTCGCACCTCCAGGGCACTCTGCACATGACATCCCCAAACATTTGGGAGCTATTGCGAGACATAAAACTTCATTTTATATGGGGTGTTGGGTCTGGCTTCTTCACAAATGGAGCTTTGGTACAATCAAGTGACCTCTGAGTTCTCGCAGACACTCCCAGTGGGAGAACAAGCAGATAAACAAAAATCTCTCTGTAGAATTAGAAGTAATTTCACAGTGACTGGCCAACTGCTAATACAGTAAAGCAAAGCATTTTTAGGAAACTAGAAAATATACATGCATATTACCCATCCATGCAATATGCAATCACTCACTCATTCACTGACCCTTATGAAGTACAAAAATACTGACAAGGGTTTTTTTCACTGTAATTTGTGAAACTATGTCAATCCTAATTGGGTTTTCAGATTTACAAGGGAAAATTAGGTTAGAATTAATCGTTTCAGCAAAAGCTCTGGGCCATGGTGAAACCTTGCTTTGCAAATTCTATCTTAACTTTTAAGGAGAAGGTTAGGATGTATCTATTATATACTGGGCAAAGAAACTCACCACTTATACCTGTAACTGCAACAAATTTTCATTTTACTCACATCTTTGTAAGTCATTTACAGAGAAGGTCCACTGACATTTTGTTGAAGACATATGACATACATACGATTACTCTGATTAATATTTGTCATCACCAGGGGTCTACTGTGAAAGGCATGGGCTGGATCTGAGACCACCATTAGCAGCAGCACAATATGTACAGTACATCTTCAGCACATGTTATAAAACTATCTTGCAGATACTGTTTTGTGGAACTAGTTTACATTCCTTTCTTTGAGCATAAACATATGTGTGAAAGTTCAAAAAGCAATGTGTGCCAAAGAAAGTTTTAAAACTGTTGTAAGCTGGACATATTAGCTCTTTTCTGTGTTTTTCTTATTTTTGTTACCTGACTTGACATGCAACAGGTTAAATCACCTTATCACCTGTGCCCAGACAGCTGTCCCTTGTGAAGTAATTTAATATTTATGCAATAGTTGATGTAATTTAAGTGCATTACAATCAGTCATGAAAGATAAATTAATCAAAATGACATGTAAGGCATTTAACCAATATCCAAAATCTGTGGCTTGGTTTTTCTGAAAACATGTTTGAATAGAATTGTTAAGTTTCTTCTAATGCTCAGTGTATGTGGCCTTTATTCCAACAGAGTGTTATGCAAATGTGATTAGCACAACATTTTTTAAATTATTTTACATTAATATAATTTGCCTCTTAATTCAGATTTATGTTATCCCAAGCAATGATGTGGACCGTCAGTACCTTTCACATTCCCTGTACAATATGTGTCCCTCTCTTTGTGTTTCATAATGCTTATTCTTATCTAACAAAGACAGAAAGAACGCAGGGAATACATTGCATTCAAAGACAAGTTGTTGAAACCTAACCTGAAGAGATTTACAAAAAAAACTTTTTGTAAGGAAATTGTAGAATTTATTCTTTATCAGGATTCACTTACCTAGAGCACTGTAATGAATGTGTATATGACATTAAAACAAGACAGATAAACAATGCTATTAGGAAACCAAACACTGCAAGAATTAAACCACAAAACCCTCTAGCTTTATCGGACCTCTAACTAAAACTCTTTTCCCTCTATATAAATAATTGGGTAGGTAAACTGCTTCTCTGCAGCAGAAACCAATGTCTCTCTCAACCAAAAACAGTTTTCCAAAAAACTTTTAAAATGTCCATAGGTTCATTTTTGATCCTTTCTTTGTGCTCTCCTCCCTCTAGTACAGAATCTTAGCTAGAAGATGTCAATAACCACTGGAAACCTCCACTTTCTTGTTTGTAAATTTCACAGGAACAACGGTCTTCCTTCAATAAGTGAGCTGACCGAGGACAGCAAATTATTCCCCATTGCCTTGCCAGAATCGTGGTTTAGACAAGAACCGCCACCTTGTCTGGACCAACTTTTCTCTTACAAATGCGTGATATATTTAAATTAATCTTTTCAATAATTTAAAAAATCCAAACAAGCAGAGAAAATCCAAGAAACACAACAAAGGAAACTTTTCTCCCACAGGTAAGAAAAGAGGGGAGAGAAGGACCAAACCCAACTAGTTTTAAGGACGACCTGAAAGTGATGCCTGCTGGTTTTGATCTTGGGTATTTGTAGCAAAGACTAAACTACAAAAAGGGAGTCTCCGGAGTAATTATTTTGTGTACACGTTCTGAAAACCCTGGACAGGATAATTTACCATTCTGTCTACACCCTTCACCATGTCTGAAAACCTCTAGCGAGTCAAATGTAAATCATTCCAACAATATCACTTTGGAAATGTGCTGTCATCAGCATTTCAAGATCCCACAGCAACGTTTGTAAAATCAATAACATGAACGTTTGGTATTTCATATCCTCTATGAAATACTCTGCACAAATAACTTCTCTCTGAATGCTTAGGAAGCATCTTAACCTGGACGAGAACTTTGATGTGTAGACCAGGGAGAATAGACCCTTTGGGGACAGACAGTATGGTCAAATACAGTGTGATGCAAGTGTAAGTGAAGTTAAATAATCCTAAAATTAAGGTACAGTGATAGAAACTTCCCAATATACTGTATATATTTGAGAAGACTTTGGTAGCAATCTGAATCCTACTTCTAATATAACATCTGGAGTGAAATGATTTATACACTACTCATGTGTGAATAAGGTGAGTAGATGCATTCAGTGTACAGAGTAAATTAACAATTCCGATAAGGATTTATCAAAGCATTCCCAGCTAAAGCCTTACACTTATCCATTTCCACTATATAGAAAGAGATGCGCATTGGGACAACAATTAAGAATTTGCTCTCCACATTAAGGTCTGGTCCACAAGTGGTAGCCTAATTTTCTTTAAAATGATTGCTTTAAGGTGATATAAATACTGAAAATAAAATGACAGTTGCTAATATAACATTGTGCAGGAAGAACTGAAAAAATAAAACCCAGAAAATACTGTAAAAGCACACTTGTATAAAATAGGGCAAATAAACGTTCTTTACCACCCTCTTTTTGACACAGC